AAACTTTTAAAAGATGATGCTTTTACTTTCTGTAGAAAATCAAAGCACTGTAAGCGCTGTAGGCAGTTAACCAAAAACCAAGGCAAACGTAATTATGAAAACTGTGGCAATGTTGCTTCAATTTTTAAGATTTGAAAGAACAAACATTAAACATTCGTATATTTTACATTTATGTTCATTAAATGAATTGATTATTAAGGCAAATTAATTAATATTTCATCAAGGTTTTCAAAAGCAACTCATGATCATATATCAATGTAAATGACCCCCATCTTCACCCCCAAGTGCATGATGTTACTCCATACTAAGTTTGGAATAAAATGACAGGTGATTATAAAACAGTTGGTCAAACATTCTCGGGCTTTACACTGCTTGAAAGATTTATATGTTTTCTTTAAAATGAGCCATAAATGAAAATGATTATAGGCCCAGAAATAATTTAATAAACAATTAAAGTAAATTCAATAATCTAGACTCATTTTTTGGATCAAAATTTTTTTTTATAATAAACAAGAAATAATTGTAACAGGATGCCGTTACGAAGTCTCCCAAACAAAGCGCCCATAATTCGTCATTCCCATGGTCTCCTGACATTGGGCAAAGTCCAGTTCATATTGGTTTGGTCTAGTAAAGTAATATGCATATGTGACACCAAGGAGATTGACCCTGTATGTCATTCAAATCTTTTTGAAATGATGAACAGGAATAAATACGGTGTAGGTGTGGGTATCTCGACCGTTTACAAGTTCTCAAACAGGAGGGGGTGGGGTGACCCCAGGGACTCCCCCTATATTTCATTTGATTTGTTATATTGTCCCATACATGAATACATATGGTTTAGGGGTGGGGATCTCGACCATTTCCAAGTTCTCAAACAGGAGGGGGTGGGGTGACCCCAGGGACTCCCCCTATATTTCATTTGATTTGTTATGTTGTCCCATACATGAATACATATGGTTTAGGGGTCGGGATCTCGACCATTTCCAAGTTCTCAAACAGGAGGGGGTGGGGTGACCCCAGGGACTCCCCAAATATTTCATTTGATTTGTTATATTGTCCCATACATGAATATATATGGTTTAGGGATGGGGATCTTGACTGTTTACAAGTTCTCAAACAAGAGGGGGTGGGGTGTCCCCATGGACTCCCCCTATATTTCATTTGATTTGTTTTATTGTCCCATACATGAATATATATGGTTTAGGGGTGGGGATCTCGACCATTTCCAAGTTCTCAAACAGGAGGGGGTGGGGTGACCCGAGGAACTCCCCATATATTTCATTTGATTTGTTTTATTGTCCCATACATGAATATATATGGTTTAGGGGTGGGGATCTTGACTGTTTACAAGTTCTCAAACAGGAGGGGCGGGGGTGTCCCCAGGGACTCCTCCTATATTTCATTTGAATTGTTTTATTGTTCCATACATGAATGGATATGGTTTAGGGTTAGGGATCTCAACCATTTCCAAGTTCTCAAACAGGAGGGGTTGGGGTGACCCCAGGGACTCGCCATATATTTCATTTGATTTGTTATATTGTCCCATACATGAATATATATGGTTTAGGGGTGGGGATCTCGACCGTTTACAAGTTCTCAAAAAAGGAGGGGGTGGGGTGACCCCAGGGACTCACTCTATATTTCATTTTGGATTTGTTTTATTGTCCCATACATGAATATATATGGTTATGGGGTGGGGATCTTGACCATTTCCAAGTTCTCAAACAGGAGGGGCTGGGACGACACTGGGGACTCCCCCAAATTATTTTCATTTGATTTTTTTATTGTCCCATTCAAGTATATATATTGTTTAGGGGTGGGGATCGCGACGGTTTACAAGATAAAAGTACATTTTCAAATTGAAGGGGGTTGGGATGACCCCCAGGGACTCACCCTACATTTTGGTTGATTTTTTGTATTGTCCTGTTCTCATTACTGAAGACTGCATGTGTCTATCACCTACTGTTTTCGAGAAATAGTCATTTGAAAATTAAAAAAAATAAAATCCCATAGGGTTCTATAGTAAACCCCTCCCTTCTTCAGGCCCCTCCAAATACCCCTAAATAGACCCCAATGCACAAACAAAAGATTAATGGCTCCACTAGACATGTTAGTCTAATATTTTATGAAACCCTAAGTAAATCTGACAAACGGTCAAAGTTGTCTTCTTAGACGGGTTGACTGGATTCGGTCCGACTTGTCTCGGGGACGAGTTGTCCACATTACTTAAAACATCCCATCAACGTCGATTTCCGCATCTGTTTTCATGACCTCTTTTCATTCATAAAATAACAACAACCTTATTTGGCAAGATAAGTTAGAAATTACCACCCACTTATATAACTTTATTTCCTCTATCATAGAGATTTGTTGTACATGAACAATATTCCTGCGCATTTTGCCATTTGGGAAATATAAACGACTTGTAATTACCGATTTTCGGCGATGAAATATTTCATACAATTGTTCTTTGACATCGTAGCCAAAAGCACAGGGGATAATAAACTACGTACGGATTTCTATTGAGCACTACTTCCTATGTGCAACTTCAAAGGTTTTGGGTAGTTCGACGATCATTTAAGGTTTTTCTGGTCATATTTTTTGTATTCCAGAAATAAAAGTATTAAAAAAATGTCCAATTAGTTATAAATAACATAATAGTCAGCTAGATAGTAACAATGGCACGTATTTCAGCATTTATTGGGTAGAACACAAATCTAGGGTGCTCGCATAAGGCAGCTTAACTGCCTAATAACAATGATACAGACCCTTGGGTAGCAATAAACAGTTAGGAAAAAAATATTCAAATTTACTCTCATAAATTTTACAATCCCCTTTTCCTTGCTTTCTTGCAAATTAAGCTTACTGTTTGTGTCATATATGTGCATATGTATGTAATCAGTATCTTCCATAGATTTGATATCTAGTAGTTAAAATGGTAAAATATAATTTCTTTTTGGTGTATCCATGGCAACTATCTGCATTTATTTGCAATAAAATATTGCAAAAAGGGGGGAAAAGATGTCACATATTTCCCAAAAATTTGGCAAGAAGTAGAATTTCAATCCCTTGGAGTGTTACCTTTTCTGAAACTGTTTACATATATCTATCAGGAAATCAAATAAAAATCATATGTCTTTCATCTCATTTTTTGTAAAATTGTGTCAAAAACTTTGTGTAGAAAAAAGTGTTTGTAAACATTACATTAATTTCTGGACCTACGGCCGGTATATTTATGAAAATATGGACAGTCAAACAGAAAATAGCCTATAAAACATGAAAAAAATACTCTTGATGTTCTTATAAACTACCTTTGAAGGCTAAATTATTACTCAGCTGTCTAAAAATGAATTTTATTGCACAATAACTTTCATATTTGAAAACTCCACAGGGGCCAAAATGCGAAACCAAACTCCTAACTGTGTATTGCTACCTTGAGAAGGGCAAGAAAGAGTCAATTTGTTTTGAAGAGGAAAGAGTGTTTTTTTTTTATTTTGCCTAATCTAAATTCCATTACTGAAATAACATTTTCCCCCCATCAAATTAATAAGCCTGCAGATGTTTGTTTTACATAAACTTAATTTTTTTTAAATGGTTAAGATCTAGGCTTAAGAAAAGTTTGGTATTTTAATGTACAATCAATTCAAATGTGAGACTTCAATCCTTTCAAAAGTAAATATTTTCTGTAAATTTTTAATCAACTTAAAGGTCATACTGGGTTAATTAAATTATCCTAGAAGGTCAATTAATTTTGAATTCACATTCAATCTTCAACATGAAGGAAAAATTAATTCAAAGGCCTAAGTTCTTGCATCAGTAAATCAAACTTTGGCCTGTGAAACTTTCAGACTATTTTTTGAATAAACAAGACGACAGTCCAGAGATAAAACAAATCCTACCAGAATACTGTGGATTAACTTAATCATGGACTAGATTTATACTGGGAAACCAAGTTAGCTAGATTAAAAGATCATCATTCTTTGAAAGGTAGCATATATGTTTACTGTATAATATCAAATGGCTATCAAAATTTGTTTTGAATTATTGCATGTCCATATATACAATTTTATTTTACTGTTAGATTAGTGTGAAGTCCATGAAGTAAAGCAAATACTGGTCAAAATAAAGTTTAAATGTTCAAACTTCCATCTTATGATTTTATACTACACTATTTCACAGAAAAAAAATAACAAGATCATTACAAAATTCAACAAACATGTAATTTGTGTATATCACATCATTACACCTGACCTCAGATTCTACAATTAATGAAACTCATGCTAAAACAGCATATAAGAAATAATGATGAATCTTTTCCATAATTGAAACCATAAGGCATGTCTGATATGACATCAAGACTGTCGAATACTATTACTACTATCCGTAGCTAAGATTTTAAAAGTATCCATCATATATCGTAAAGACAGGAACTCATCCACTAAGAAACAAGGCTAAAGGAGAAATATTCTAATGGTTTTAATAACTAATGTTATAGGGGGCAACCGAGGAAGGCTAGGGTGTAGGTAACAGTATATAGGTATGTTGGATGATGCCACCATACGGAGTTCAAACTTATTCCCTACATTGTATTACAGGAATATTTATATCTTTATCCTTATATGGCTATATATATTTTGTTAGATAAACTAAAAATGATAAAATATTCTAATTGCAGGACAAAAAATCCTAGATGTGGATCCAAATTTTATAAATCTGACCTTCAAAAATCTATGGTCAAAATAATAAAAAGCAACAAGACTGATGGGAAGAACAAACTAATCAATTAATAAGAAAAAAAAGTTTATAAATTGTTATTGTTACTGGTTTTTTTAGTTTTTTTTATAATTTCAAACTTACCTAGATGATTGGGTAAAAGACAGGTCCCAATTGAGCCTCAAAAGATTTTAGAGGAGAAATTTTTTTTAAGTTACTGGATGAGAGATGCCATGTGATGCAAAAGCTCACATTGTAAGAAGCAGTCTATGAACACATTATCTAACCTGATCTGAACTGTCATCATATTCTTGTTTAATGGTGACCTGAATTGCCTCATAATCCTCCAGAAACTCATTATATCTGTTGACGGACAATGACCTGAAAAAAAGAAACAGATTTTGTTGAAAGCAATATTCAGAAACAAATGCATCTTCATTTTTGATATTTGTAATGTACATGTAGATGTAGAATAACCAACTTGAAAGCTGAAAATGTGTGTATAATTACAGTTAAGTTGAATTCTGAGCTGCAAGAAAAAAGTATGTGTACATGTACAGTCCAAATCCTACTGGAAGCTCCTGTATCAACACCATGTAATTTCTTTACAAGTCTGCTAATTTCAACAATGATGCAGTTTTCATAGAAAAAAGCTGAGATTGGAGTTGAAATCAAAGTGTTAAAAAACAAACAAGGTAACCTTGAACTTTCATATATTTCTATTCTTGAAAACTGTATGTCACAATGCCTGCTTGATGTCTTTTGGTTATTTTTGCAGTTTGATTGCATTCTTATTGACATCTTCCTTACATCTTCTTCTATTTATAAAAGCTTGAGATGGCAGAATTCAGGAAGCCAGAGACAATAGAAACCAAACAATGGTAAAAATTTACAGGACCTTTAGTCAACATATCATACATACTTTGTGTCTATTAATGAAGACCATAATGTTGACCTCTAAAAGACTTTTTGGTTTATTTTCTTGTCAGGTTGCTGTATCATTGATGTTCATTGCTTTTCTTCTTTTTTTGTAATTATTAATAACTATGACAGTTTTTTATAACAATGATTTGAGAAATGTTTTAACCAAGATAGGCATAAAAGATGGTGACATTACGTGCACTGGCTGTCCATCCAATACCACATTTAAGTTTTGGTTTAAGGTAATTTACCATGAAAATAGGGTCATATCATCAATAGATGATAATTAAAGGCTAATTAGATTAAAGTAGAAGAGGAATAAAATCTCAACCACTTACACTTTTGGAGTAATATTTGTTCCATCAGTCAAATTTTCCATTTTAAAACATTATATTACTATTTCATACCCACAATACTTAATAATGTTTGCTGTCTATTTGTTTGAATAAAAAAGCATAATTTAATCAATGCAGGAAATTATTAAACAATGTACAATGCATGAATTTACAGATAATCCATATGAAGACTCATAGGAATGACATTACAAGTTATACTACTTCTTTTAGTATGTAAAATGAAAAATGAGATCAACCCCTACTTGTCGTTATTTAGGTAATAATCAATATTCAATACATCAAAATATATAGTCAAACATATCACCTGTTGCAATTTTACCATAAAAACACTGACCACCTGAACGTTGTCCGCTATCAATTTTATCTTTTGAGTCTATACCGTTATCATAGTTGAAAATTTAAATCATATTGATATCTTAACCAGTCAATTGTTAGACTACCTTATTTAAATGTAACAATTTATATCGCTTAACGTGTCAAAAACTATAATATGCGATTATTGAGTGTTCTTCAAAGTTCTCTTATCTTGATAAAATGATTGAAAAAGTGTCACAGACTTCCTTATTTTCTATCTATAACCCTGAATAACAAATAAAATGGCTCTTCTAACCCTGAGAGATATGAAGTACTGGTACCGTTAACTTACATTTTAGGTATGCAATAAAAGCAATGTAATCTTTATCTAAATGTTCTTTGTTTGTATCTTTATAAGGGTTTACACATTAACAGTGGGACTCCACTTTTTTAACCTTGAGTAAAGCTAACAATGTTCAGGAACTTATTAAGTAAATTTTGAAAAAAATCTCTCTAAGACAAAACTGTTTAGTTTTTTTCATATATTTAAAACAAGGGTCCACATGCCAGAGGTTCCGAAGGTTTTTTGGACCTCAGTGGTCTTTTGGTCTAGTTAATGTTCAAGCATTACTGGTCCAGTCAGTGTTTTAGCAGTCCTTTACAATATGAGTATTACAAAATTCTTAATCTACACTGACCATTTGGTCCAGTAATGAATGACATTTCACTGACACAAACCATTCATTACTGGCCATTGCCACATGTCTGACGGACCTTGGGAATGACTGACATGCTGAAATATCTCATCTGCTTTACAGATTATGATCAAAATGTATGCAGAAAGTCTTTAAGATGACACTTTTATGACATCTACAAATGTATCACCCAACAAAAGATTATTAATGCTCCATGAAAATGAGGTTAAGGTCAGATGCAACCTGCCAAACAGACATGTACTGCTAACAATCATTCCATATGCTAAATATATTTGACCTGAACTTTATGTTATCTTAGACCTAATCACAAAAAAATACAAGTAGACAAATGAACCATGAAAATGAGGTCAAAGTCAGATGAACCCTGTCAGATGGACATGCACTTCTTACAATCATTCCTACCATCAAATATACTTCACCTATTGTTCATTGTATCTGAGAAACAGATCTTACCACATTAACATTGACTAATGAATCATGAAACTGAGGTCAAGGTTAGATGAACCCTCCCAGAAGTACATTGTAAATGAACATCTAACAATCATCCCTTATAGAAACTATAGTTTACCTTTCGTTTATAGTATCCACGAAACAGACCATACCTTGAAAACATAATGCTGAACAATGAGCCATGAAAATGAGGTCATGGTCAGATCCAGTGATTTTGCTATCGCTCGTCATTTTCATCATTTACGAAACGGTTTTCAAAATGACGAAGGTATTTCAAACCAATTTCATCACTTAAATTTGGAAAGTGTAAAAATATTTTCGCATGAAAATACTATAATTCTACCTGTCTTCATGTTTCTAACAAGTTTATAAGCCCTCAGCTAATTAACTTCACAAGAAGTGTTAAAAGTTGTGATGACAGGTAATCCAATTATCCCCATTAGATGGGTCACTAAACCGTTAATTATTAAAAAAAACCTCATAATTGACCATCATAATTATTTTTCCCAGTTAAATCAGTCAGTCTCTGCATTTCAATTTCAATAGTTCTTAAATGACAACAATTCGTACTTTCGTCATTTGAACTAAATTATTTTCCCCCTGACAGTTTGCATTTGAATTTCAATATTTCCCAAACATTTCCCGATCACAATTTGCAGTTCATTTGTAGCAGTTTCGTCATATGAACGTATTTTCGTCATATTTGATATTACTTTTCATCAAAAACTTTCGTCAATTTCGATTAAAAAGATAGTTTATTCAACACGTCCAGAAATATATTTTCATGCGTCAAACAGGTGCTTCCGTTTACTATGTACTGCTGATGGGACTCAGATCAACCATGCCAGACAGTCATGTTCACCTAATAATCATTTTGTTGACCTATTTCTTAAAAGTATCTGAGGAACAGACATAACCACAAAAAACTTAATGATGACCAATGAATTATGACATGTATCAAAATGAGGTCAAGGTTAGAGGAACCTGTCCTGATAGACTTGTAAACCTTACTCTCATTGATTCCTGACACCTTATAGTTGACCTATTGCTTATAGTTTCGAGAAACAGAAATAACCATACCACAAACACCTAACCTTGAAATGAAATGAAGTCAGTCAGGTGAACCATGTCTGAAAGACATAAGACCTTTCAAGTATCCAATATATCAAATATAGTTACCCTATCACTAATATTAAGTGAGAACTCAAGAAAACTCACATGATAAAAAATCATAGTTTTCTAAGCTTTTGTGAAACATGAAAACGAAGTAAAGGACATGGTAAAATGCCAGACAGAAGTTTAAGAACATAAGGCATCTATATACGAAGATATAAGTTATGAAGTATCCAAGTCCTCTACTGTTTGAAATATAAAGCTTTAAATATACAATAGTTGATGTTACCCCTGAGCTATCATCCTCATCTGCCACAGACAAATAATTGAAATATACATGAACATGTACATTAGCAATGATTTTTTTTATTTATTTTCCTTAATAATTTTTTTTTTCAGTTGCAGTACATAAAATATAATTTTTGAACATATTTTCCTTTCCTGAGTTTCAAAACCAATTGCTTTCCATAGCAGAGTCTCCAGAAGTCAGTTTTTCTCTCTAACATGTTTAATGCTAGAACAACTACTGCTTAAGTTACTTTTTAGTGCACAACAATTAAAACAGCAAGAAAATGAATCCTTTAAACTGCATTAAACACTATTGAATCATATTATATACCTTTCTTGTGTTCTCAGGTTCTGTTCAGGTCCATCTGAAACAAAATTGTAAAAAAGTCAATTTAACCTCATAAAAAAAATATTATTCATTATTTATAGGATAACACAGTAAGCTAATCTTCCCCTAGGCCTTCACAAAATACATAAATTTAAATCTAACTAAGAAGGAAATACAAATTAATCAGGGGACAATAACAAGAGGCTCCAAGGAGACTGAATAACTGACTCATCTGGTAAAAATATGCCATATTAATATAAACATAAAAATGTGCTCCCCCTGAAGCAGCTGGATACTACCGCAGAGGTTGAACTCTGAACAGTTGGGGCAAGTACGGACACAATATTCAAGTTTGATACAGCTCTGAATTTGGATAGTGATTAAATATTTGACACATTATAGATTTCTGACACAGAATAAATGTGGTCAGATAACTTAAAATTTGAAATGGGACTTTAAATCCACTTAATGGTCCAATATCCAAAATTTAATTCCATGGTTAGAATCAGCATATAAAAAAACAAACATGAATTCAAACAAAGTTAAATTTTGGGCCCTGTGGACCTTAATATGGACTAATTTGAAAACAGGGCCCAAAATTAAAAATCTGAATGCACAGTTAGATTCAGCATATCATAGAAATCAAACAAAGTCTAATTTTTGACCCTTTGGACCTCAATGTAGACCTATCTAAAAATGTCTAAATATCCAATATAGTAATACATGGTAAAAACCTCAAACAATTCAAGACTTTAATTTAATCCTCATTGAAATTGGTTTAAAGATTTGTATTTATTTTCAATTGAAGATTTCTTGCTGTTGTGCAATACTTTGCTGTTGCCCAATACTTAGTAAATCAGTTTACAAACTAAATATAATAATTTACATACCCTGTTTGGGTGTGTATCTCCTATCGTATCAGTATTTGATGTTTCTTTATATAGATCAGAAATAATTTATGTTAGAACCCGCTTAGCCAGTATTAGAAAAGTCTTGTTTTTGGCCCTATTTGGCCTCTAGTTCCTTAACGATTAAAGCCACAACCCACAAAATCGACCCCAACCTTATGTGTGTGGAATGGAACCTTGTGGTACAATTTCATAGAGATCCATTGACTAATACTTAAGTATTTGTCCATTAACCAGAATAAACTGCTTCAATGAGCGCAGCTGGATACGCCCGCAGAGGTCCAACCCTGAACAGTTGGGGCAAAAATGGACACAATATTCAAGCTTGATACAGGTCTGAATTTGGATTGTAATTAAATATTTGATATATTATAGGTTTCTGAATAAATGTAGTCAAAGAACTTGAAATTGGTTATATTAAAGATTTCTTTCTGTTGTGCAATACACTGTGCTGTTGCGCAATACTTAGTAAATCTGTTGTCAGACTATAAACAAATAAAATCTTATAACTCGGAAACGTAATCGAAAATTTATAAAAATCAAAAGGGAGCTTACAAAAGTAGATATAAACAATTTACCAAAGTTTCATAAAAAAAGCTGAAAGCATTTTTATTTATTGTCCGAAAACTGGAAAATCCCCCTTTTTCTAATGAATAAAACCCCATAAATCGGAAACGTATAGTCTGAAATTTATAAAAATCAAAAGGGAGCTCATGTCGATAGATATAAACAATTCACCAAAGTTTCATTCATATTAGCTAAAGCGTTTTTGAATTAATGTCCGACATGTTGACGACGGACGGACAGACGGTCAACGGTATACCATAATAAGTCCTGTAAACGGGCATATAAAAACCTTGTTTTTCAACCCTTTTTTTACCCCTAATTTCTGAACGGTTTGGGCCATAACCCCCAAAGTCAATCCCAACCTTCCCTTTGTGGAATTGAACCTTGTGGTACCATTTCATAGAGATCCATACACTAATACACAAGTTAATGTCTGGAAACTAGAAAAATGCCTTTTTTTGGTCCCTTTTTGACTTATTCCTAAACATGGGACCATAACCCCCAAAATCAATCCCAACCTTCCTTTTGTGCTATTGAACCTTGTGATTAAATTTCATAGAGATCCATTCACTTATACTAAAGTTATTGTCCGGAAACCAAATGTGTCTTCGGACGTCGACGACATGATAGCAATATACGAACGCAATTTGTTTGCGGTGGTATAAAAATTCAGTCATAACATTATCAAGGATCTAAGGCCATGCAAAAATATTGTTGTTTTCCCCCAACCCTGCCTGTCTTTTTACCATACAGGTCAATTTTTTTTTCTAGCAGATGAAATGTGCACCCGATGTTCTGTTGAAATTAAGACGGTTTTCTTTAAAATGCAAAAGAAGAAAGTCATGTATAAGAATGATCATTATACCATATTTAAATATTACTACTTTCCTTCTCCTCCGAACAGTCTTCAAAATAAAAGACAAAATACAATAAAATGCTCCGCAGGGCGCAGCTTGATACGACCGCAGAGGTCGAACCCTGAACAGTTGGGGCAAGTATGGACACAACATTCAAGCTTGATACAGCTTTGCATTTGGATTGTGATTAAATATTTGACACAGCATAGGTTTCTGACACAGAATGAATGTGGTCTAAGAACTTAAAAATTTTAAATTGGACATTCACCTATTATGGTCCAATATCCAAAATCTAAATACATGGTTAGATTCAGCATATCAAAGAACCCCAAGAATTCAATTTTTGATGAAATCAAACAAAGTTTAATTTTGGACCCTTTTGACCTCAATGTGGACAAAGTTGATAACGGGGCCCAAAAATCAAAAATCTAAATACATGGTTAGATTCAGCATATCAAAGAACCCCATATATTCAATTTTTGTTGAAATCAAACAAAGTTTAATTTTGGACCCCGATTTGGACCAACTTGAAAACTGGGCCCATAATCAAAAATCTAAATACATGTTTAGATTCAGCATATCAAAGAACCCTAAGAATTCAATTTTTGTTAAAATCAAACTAAGTTTAATTTTGGACCCTTTGGACCTTAATGTAGACCAATTTGAAAACGGAACCAAAAATTAAGAATCTAAATACACGGTTAGATTCGGCATATCAAAGAACCCCAATAATTCAATTTTTGATGAAATCAAACAAAGTTTAATTTTGGACCCTTTGGACCTCAATGTGGACCAATTTAAAAACGGGGCCCAAAATCCAAAAACTAAATACACGGTTAGATTCAGCATATTAAAGAACCCCAAGAATTCAAGAATAAAACCCCATTGATATTGGTCAAGAAATAAGCAATTTATACGAAGTATCTTCTTTTGCACAATACTGTGCAATTAAATATTTCTTGCTATTGCGCAATACTGTACAATTGACAATTTCTTGCTATTGCCCAATATTGTGCTATTGGATATTTCTTGCTATTGCGCAATACTGTGCAATTGAAGATTTATTGCTATTGCGCAATACTGTGCAATTGAAGATTTCTTGCTATTGTGCAATACTGTGCAATTGAAAATTTCTTGCTATTGCACACTTATTATATAATAATTTACACATCCTGTTTGGTGTGTATCTCCTACCATATCATTATTATTTGCTTTTAAATATAAATCAGAAATAACCAACTTAAAATGGAAAATTTTAAAAGAAAAAAAAAAGGAAAAAAAAAAAATCCCCCCCACCAAATTTTTTGAACCCCCTTATGATTCATCACCCCCAAACTCAATCCCAGCCTTCCCTTTGTGGTATGGTACCTTGCAGTACAATTTCAGAGAGATCCATACACTTGAACACAAGTTATTGTCTGGAAACTAGAAAAATGTGTTTTTTGGCCCCTTTTTGGCCCCAAATTCCTAAACGTTAAGGGCAATTACCCCCAAACTCAAACCCAGCTTTCCCTTTTTTTTTTTTTTAATTTTTTTGCGGTCGTATAAAAATTGGTCAAAAAATTGTCATTTAAGGGCAATTACTCCATTAAAAGTTGATAAATGGTTTCAGTCAAATCAAGGATTTATATAATTTACTATATAAATCCTTGGTCAAATGACATAACTGATAATTTAATCATGTTTCCATTTTTTTTCCATTTATTTCCTTTCTTTTAAATAGAAGGCAAAATACTAGAATTTGTTTAAGAACAGCATTTAAGGACATTAAGTCCTTTTAGTAGTCAATAAATGATTTAAATCATTTAGCATTTGTTTTGAAAGGAATTGCTGATATCCTAGACAATATATAAAAGGATCCTACAAAATAGGAACCAATACAAACCAGAAATACTTTGTATAGTTTTTGTATCGTTAATAATTTTTGCTGTCTTCAGTTTCTATTATAATTTTTAAGATATTTTTTTGTAATTTGTCAGAAATAGTCATTTGGGGGCAATAACTCCTGAAAGGGGGCCAGGCAATTTATCTTTTCAGTCATATTTATATATGACTTTTTGTAGATCTTGTATTGTTAATGATCTTTGCTGTTTACTGCTTTTATAGATTTTAAGTTAATAGGCAATAATGGTTAATTTGGTCAAAATTTGTTATTCAAGGGCAATAACTCCTGAAAGGAGTCATCTGATAATTTTTGTCTATATAAAAAGTTAGTAGGTAGGTTTAAACATTTTCACCCACTCAAATTTCCTCCATACATTATGGTTTTCAAGATACTAGACACATACTTGCATTTTACCTTTAAATGTATGTTCTATTTTAGCAATGGTGGCCATGTTGGTTACTCGAATGTTATATAATTCACAAACTATAATCTAGTCGACATGCTAAAAATCAATCTGATGAAATTAGGTTTGAATGGGTTCAGCAAGTTTAGAAATGAAAATGTAGACCTGTATTGTTTTAAGGACAAACTACTACTATACAGGAAAACCATTAATATAATGTACTGTAGTACATGTATGCTTCTGTGAAATTGACTTACAGGTAAACATGTAACAAAAAAAAAAGTCATTCAAACATTTTACTAAAAAATATATTTTACAATAATTTGGAAATTCTTATATATGTATAAGCAAAATTTCATTAAGTTAAAAAAACCTTTCATCAAATCTTCGATGAGACTAAAAAATGTTTTTCATAATTTTTCGTTTGACAAGAATTTTGTATTATATTTACATAAGCTTCCCTAAATTGTTCTTCTTTTTGCTTTTTTGATTGGTAAATATTTAAAAATGAAACCTGAGACATCACTGCACACATTCATATATATATTTTCAAATCTAATTTTCACAGAGAAATGCAAGAACCTGTATCTTCTTTTATTCATATTTTGGTTATTTCGTGTATTATTAAATATGAACATAGAAGCCTTCATTCATGTCATACATTTGAATATGAAGAAAAACAAAAAGTTTCTAAAAATATAATGGTGGTTAATCTTTCTTGTATTTTACATACATTGTAATTTGTATATATTTTACCATCATTTTTTTATAATAATGTTTAGTTATCGTCTTTATTTACCTGTGATTAACTGAAAAAGTTCCATTTATATATATATGATATAGGTTATCAACCTTTACACAGGTAAATAAATTGTGTTCAAAGGGACATAAATCTATGAACATTTCAAACATAACCTCATTTGGAAAATTTTAGTTATTTTTGTTTGTTTGTCCTTATGTATCATCAATATTCTTTTCTTTGAAAAGTACAAGATATTGTAATAAGTAATGTAAATTCAGAAATTAGTGATTGAATTTATTGTTGCAAATCCTTGACCTCTGGCAAAAATGTGTGAATGCAAAAAATTTATGAAGGAAAATCACCACTCAAATTATGAATGCGTTTATATTACTGTGAACCTGACATTAGGCATTCATAAAAACATTGCAATAATTTCTGAATTTACTGTATTAAGATCTGCCATCGACACCAAATTCTCCAAAATAATAAAATCATCATTATATGAGTCTTATAACAGACAATTGTAAGTGAGTCTTATAACAGACAATTGTAAGAGTGACAAGGTTCCTAACATGGGACAGTGAAATGAGAAGTACAATATGTGATGGGGTAAACAAATTCCTTGAGAACTCAAACTTCTCCTTTTAAATCTTGATCAGCTGAGTAACAAAAATAACATTCAATTCATTTGAAAATACTCAATCATTTCTTTTGTAACTTATCCAATAAGAAATTTTGCATTGTATTCTACATTTGTATTTTCAAATTTTATTCCAGCCATGATTGTTATTAAATTTTATTAGGATGAAATCACCATAAACAAAACTGTCAACAATGGACATTGAAAGCCAATATTTAAAGTTATCTCCCCACTGACTGTATCGTAACTATGAAATCGTTAAAAGATCAGGATTTATATTCCAAACTTATAAACAAAGCAAAATTTCACAATTTCTTGGACCACAACTGTTTGCAATGTGTTAATATTACAGTTTCTTTGTCCCCAATTTAATATACCTTTCATATCAAATTTACACAAAGGCTTAACTTTTCTAAGGAATATTTTCTCTACTGTAAACCAACTAATTTTCGCAAGCGACTTTCTCAAGAAGAAAAATGACACGAATATAAATCATCGTGGAAATGTAAAACTTGGATCTTTTCTTACTTAAAAACACAATTTCAAATGTTTTTATTTCTGAATATATCTTTTCATTCAGTTAAAAACCTGTCACAGCGACAGCATAAGTGTTTCGAAGCCTAGTAGTCTATCAAGACAGTGCTTTGTACCATGTGCATGTACAATGATGTAGTTTTTATGATTTTGTTCCCTCCCAAAATAAGCAATTGTGATAATTTCTGTTAAAGTTGCTACATGTCAACAAAAATAAAGAAATGCATTATATTTTATATGTAATGTTCACAGTTGCCTAAGGCATTTATATCCAACCAGCACAGCTGCTATAGTCTTTATTAGGACTTCCTTGCAATTTCAGCCCTACATTAAAGACAACCCATCTATCCTTCCTTTTTACAATATCCAGAAATGTAGTTGCCTTACATCTTATTAATTTCACTTTTAAATATTCTCTTTAAAATCAATAACATTGTGGTATCTTTTTTAATAAAAAAAATTAAAGGGGCCAACACTAGATTAAACCTGATAGTCTGACCTGGATCAGCTGATAGGTAATTTGTTTTTATCATATTTAATTACAATTAAACACATTTGGACTGAATATATTTATAAGTATCACATGAAGAAGTAACAACAACATGTTAATATTGTAAATAAAAGCAACACTATTGACAGATTGATTATCGATTGTTTTTATGCTAATCAGCTGACTTTCTGTTTCAGCAGCCAGTGCATTGTATCCGGTGTTGAAAATGGGTGACACGTGAAGTAAAAAAGAAATGATTCCACATACGAAGTATATGAACATTTTCTTACCAAAGCAATCGAGTTCTGTGTTATTTTTGCCGTTACCCGTGTCGAATAACTTCCCCTCTGTCGCCATGTTGTGCCCATTACCACGCCTAACATCCGGGCAATTTTGACTGACACACCCACTCCTCAAGTAGGTGTGCATAAGAGGTCAACATAAGGTCGCTTTCGTTATCTATCATCCAAAATTAACAAAAACTTATTTTCTTATGCAGATATAAAAAGAATTAAAAAAAGACGCATAAGATATATAATATGAAAACAATATACTAACTTAGGAGATCTTAGGACAATCAACATATTGGGTCCCAGATAAAATATGTAATATATGCACCTTTGAGTGTTTGTCTCTGGTGTTTGAAAGTATTAGATCGCCAGTGTAGGCTTCCAATATCTAAGGGGCGTAATTAAGCGCCGAAGATATAAGACGACTACATCTGATTTACATAAATAAAATTTATTTTACCTTTTATCTTGTTCTAAAAAGAGGCAATTAGTTTTGATTAAACAGGAAGAATGTCATTATCTCAAATTTTCCAGATACAGTAACACTTTCAGAAGATGTTTCATAGTTATGGATTTGGAATGAAATCTTAATTGCGTCTATTTTTCTGTCAACAAATTGATATCTTACACTTTTGGTATATGGTAATATGAATCGCTGTACTATCTTGTCTTTTTCTGTTTTAATCAGTTGCCAATTAAACCTGAACTTTTTGCTGATAAATGATAACACTTCTATGTACATATATCAATCCTTGCAGAGACATACCGGTCTATACTAGTAATACAATTGTATTATATAAGCTGGGACTAAGTATAATAGTCCCAGACTATATTTCTCTGAAATCAGTTTATGTCTCCACATTTTATACAAACTAACTTTGGAATAAGAAACTTTTTGCAATTTGTAAATCAAGACAGCGGCGTGTTGCATCAACATAAGACTGATCATGCAGTGACACTCGAATTTCTTCAAAGACGGCCGGATGTTGCTTAACTCTTGTCTTACCTGAATGACAAATGTGTTGATTGCTCTCACTTCAGAAGTCCTTTTGGAACTTTAACCAAATATGCAGAAATGGATTACTCCTATTGGATACTCAAATTATATATACAAATCCAGATTATCGCGGCCCTGTATGTGCATGAAACATTTGCTACTGGACGTTTAAGCAAGAACATCCAAACAAATATTGCAATTTCCTTATGTGTCTTAATATAAGAGCATTCAATATAAGTCAATCTCCGCGTGGTTGCCGGTTTACTTGACAAGATAGCAGGAAGTTAGAATTTCAGTATCGATAGGGACAATAATCAAAGATCTAACTTTAAGAAAAATGGTATACATCAATGAGATGGCAAAAAAAAACAAAAAAAAAAAAACCAGCAAACATGGCAAAAAGACATCATGAGGGCAGTATACGTGTAGTCTTCAACGATAGACAGCTATCTATTCAATATACCAAGCGCTTAATCGTCATGAGTCTTTACACTTTTCAACTCTTTACACTACACTTCCACACAATCTTATCAAACAAAAGTTTTCCTATTTAATTAAATGGTCGTTTGGTAAATCTGAATGTCAATATATTTGCTGCAACTCATTTAAAGACTTCTTCTCTAATGAGAAAGGTAAATATGCTAGATATACTTACTGGAGGTGTGATGAGATGATTGAAGCTGTTAATTTTCTCCTTGATAATATTTATGTAAGTTTTGGCAACAGAGTTTATCGACCGATTGTAGGTATTCCTATGGGCACTAATTGCACCCCTTTAATAGCAGACTTGTTTTCGTACTGTTATGAATCACAGTTTATGACCAAACTCAATAAAGACCCGTCTAAATTGCATTTAATTGATAAATTCAACAACACTTACCGTTATCTTGATGATATCTTTTCGTTAGATAATCAAGAATTTTCTAAATATACTGCCGAAATTTACCCTAAGGAACTTACTTTAAATAAATCAAATGTAAACGCTAATAACAATCCTTTCCTAGATTTGGATGTTTCAGTTTTACACGGGAAACTCCACACTAAAATTTACCACAAAAGGGACGATTTTTCGTTCCCTATTGTTAATTTTCCCTTATTGGATGGTGACGTTCTTTGGCACCATCTTACGGTGTTTATATTTCACAACTCGTTCGCTATGCCAGTGTCTGTTGTGACGTTTTAGATTTTAACGAAAGTAATCTATGTATTACTGGTAAATTATTAAGTCAGGGATTTCGTTACCACAAATTACTTAAAACTTTTACTAGATTCTTCCATAGATATAAAGATTTGGTTTTGAAGTTCGGTTGTACCTGTGAGAAAACTTATTTCAAACGGGATAGCACATCCTCATTTTTACGGAGATGTTGTTTACCGTTCCCGACAATTTAGAAACGATCCTGGTAAACTTATCGATCCTTTAAATAAACTTATTCTAAAAGGTTACCAATTCAACACTGTCATTAGATCTTTGAATATTGTTTTTATTGGTATTAATATTGATTTTGTTATCAGTAAATTAAAAACAAACTAAATATTATTGTTATATACATAATATGCACTTTCATGGATCTACAATCTGTCGACTCCTGTATCTTGGTAGACTGGTACCCGGCCGTTAATGAAAATCTTGACAATACCTTTTGTATATTCCGAAGGCATACTGGATATTTTACGGAGGGAACCAACCTAGTATCTTGGCATTGCACAATGTCATGTTTTTCTCTGACTGTTTATGACGTCTTTACACTAAATCCATTGAAGGTTGGATGTGTACTAATTGATAATTTAGTCTTAGATGCATGATTTTTTTATTAGTTGTTATTGGCTTTGAACTAGCTGTCAGTAACTGCTAGTACTCTCAGATCTGTACTTAATGTCTTTTTTGTTGTTGGGATGTACAAGTAACCGTTCACGTCCACTCTATATTTTTGTTATATGTATTTCTATTTGTATCCATCTGATGAGTTGAGCCTTTTTCAACTGATTTTTATAGTTCGTTCTTATGTTGTACTGTTACACCACTGTCCCAGGTTAGGGGAGGGTTGGGATCCCGCTAACATGTTTAGCCCGCCACGTTCTGTATGTATGTGCCTGTCCCAAGTCAGGAGCCTGTAATTCAGTGGTTGTCGTTTGTTGCTGTGTACATTAATTAGGCCGTTAGTTTTCTCGTTTGAATTGTTTTACATTTGTGATTTCGGGGCATTTTATAGCTGACTATGCGGTATGGGCTTTGCTCATTGTTGAAGGCCGTACGGTGACCTATAGCTGTTAATTTCTGTGTCATTTGGTCTCTTGTGGAGAGTTGTCTCATTGGCAATCATACCACATCTTCTTTTTATATTTAGAATGATAATAAAACTATATAAATTGTGTGCGTCCAAAGTCACTATATAGATTAACCTCCATCTGAAACGCTCAAATCCAAACATTTAAGAGCCAGTGATGTATAAATATGTATGAACGTTAGGAGCTATATAAATATAAGAAGATGTGGTATGAGTGCCAATGAGACAACTCTCCATCCAAGTCACAATTTGTTAAAGTAGTATGACTAAAATGGACCCCCCAAACAGCTAAATTCATCTGAGGTAAACTTTACTTGACGGGCGGAAAGTGTGTCCATAGGACAATGAAATTGCTATGGAACACTGTGCGGTCTTAAACAGTGAGCAAAACCCTTAGCATATATATAGTAAGCAATAAAAGGCATCGGCATGACAAAAAGTGAAAAAATTCAAAAGAGAAAACTAATGTCCTGATTAAAGTTACAGACAATAAACGAAAAAAACAACTTATGGCTGACAGCAACCAACGACAAACACTGAACTAATAAACCATGTTTTCCAATACAAAAATATCACCCTGTACACAGCCAATGGATTTAGTGTAAAGACGTCATAAACAGTCCGAGAAAAGCATGACCTTTTGCAATGTTAAAATATAAGAAGCGACATGCAGGCTCTAGTACCGGAATGGTTCATAAGTACATGTACAGCCATACATATTAAGTTTCTATTATAGTAAATTTGTCGAAAACAGTGTATCTTCAAAATAGAAATTGGGACAAAAGGCAAACTGCAGACCTTAAAAGAATAGAGAAGTCCATCTAAGGTCAATCTGAAGGAGTTTGAACGCCATCTATAAAGACAATGTTAATATAGAAGCACTCAGTGGTATCGACTTATTTCTAAAAAAAATAGATTAACACTTTAAGATTCGTCCGAAGTCGCTTGTTTTCTGGATTCAACTTCAAAATGGACGCTTTAAACAAACATTTTGACAGCCTAAAAATGTATAAAATATGCTTGAATGCTTGAGGAGCAATATGAACAAAATGAACTTTTTCTTTTTTAAGTATAGTTTATTACATCCACTTCATTTGAACTTTGATGGATAGTTGTCTCATTGGCAATCATACCACATCTCCTTATTTTATATTAAAAGTATAGCGTTGGTTGTTGTCTTTCATATATGTTTTTCGTTTATTGTTTGTCTTAAATCAGGCCGGTTGGTTTTTCGTTTAATTGTTGAAGGATCTTGAAGGCCGTATGGTGACCTCCACGTCATTTAGACTTAGGTGGATAGTTGTCTCTTTGGCAATCATAACATATCTCCTTATTTTATATATGGTTACATGTATAATAAATCATGTCAGTAACGAATTACTGACTACTGTGCAGATGATACCCTAGTGTACAACTGATGTCGACCTAGTGCTAGAAAAAGAAAATAAAACTTTATAAATTTGGTTTACTTTGAATCGCTTTTTTGGGATTAACAATCTTTAGGGCACGAATGGTCTTGGGGATGACTTTAATCCTTTTGTGGTAGGGTTGAGCACCTGAGACATCCAGTATCCTACTCTCTTCATATATTTTGAATAACAAAAGTCGGCGTACCCTTTCATATGTTTTTTTTTTTTACAATACTTCGAATACACATATAGTCATTTTGGGGCCATTTATAGCTTGCTGTTCGGTGTGAGCCAAGGCTCCGTGTTGAAGACCAATTTTGACCTATAATGGTTTACTTTTATACAGTTAAGTCTGCCTCATATCTTGACTTACATCTAGAAATTGACAATGAGGGTCGGTTGAAAACAAAACTTTACGACA